TTGCTTTCCTCCCTTTCTGCCTTCGTGGAGTTCATGCCCTCCCTTTGAGACCCACCGATTCTCACCAGCCTCACATACACAGCAGCTCTGCTCTGCCCCCTCTTTGAGAGCAGAGCAGAGGAAGCCAAGGGGCGAATTCAGGCTGCCATCAATTCCCCACCTTCGCGCTGCAACAGAGGGCGGCTATGCAGGTAGGTATCAGGCCAGCACAGAAGAGCAACAAGGCAAAAGCCAGTTTTGGAGGGATGACAGTTTAGAATCATGATACTGCACCCACACGGGTGGAGCATTAGTTTAGTCATTTGTGCAGAAAGGGTAACAAGCCAGTAAACACTGCAGAACTAACACCGAAGTCAAGGTCACAATCCATTACCAGAAAGAAAACCACAACCAATCAAACCCCAAACAAAAACCACCACCACCAACAAAAAAAATCCCTGGGAAGGCCTGCTCTGATGCATCTGATTCATTCTGCAGGTCCAGCCTGTCTGAACCCAGCCCCAGCTCAGCACCGAAACAGCACTGGGCTGACTTTGTGCAGAGCTATTTGAATCTGTCTACACTGCACTCCCCGGTTCCACAATATCAGCAACTCCAATGTCTGGTGTATACCATGCTATCTTAACTCCAGAATAAGCAGGTATTAACACTAATTACAAAAGAACCTGATGCATTTTCAGAAATTTTTAACCACCAGCCCAGGAAGGTAATGAATTTTTTTTTTAAATCCTCTTTTAACCAATATACCAATTTTCAAAGCTCAAAAGAATTGTTTAGTCTTTCCTCACAGTTAACCAAATCTCTACCGATAGAGCATGGCAAGATATTACCATTTTGGTAGCAATACATAGAATCATAGAATCGTTTAGGTTGGAAAAGACCTTTAAGATCATCCAGCCCAACCATTTACCTACACTACCAAGTCCACACTAAACCAATTAAGGGCAGACTAGACTAAACCATGTCCCGAAGTGCCACATCTACCCGTTTTTTGAACACCTCCAAAGGAAGAGGGAAAGGAGGAAAAAAGATGGCTTTGTGATTTAAAAACTAATGGCTTGTTCATTCATTCTCCTGTTAAATTCCTGAAAATTTTTAAAGTACACATTGCCTAATTTAAGTTTCAAATAACCAGTTGAGATTAGAGATTTGTTCAGCTACCAAAGCATGCTCATCATGTTGCACTGAGGTAAAGAACAGCATTGCTCCCACCAGTTTTCTACAAAGAGGAGAAACATACATATCAAACCTGAGCGTGCCATGTGTACACAGCACAAAAGAGATGCTGATAATGTATGATACTATTTCTTTTTGGCAGTTCAAACATTTCTAAACAGGAATGTGATAACCCAGAAAAAACACAACTTCTGCCCCTCAAAAACCCAGGACTGGTTTAAGATACGATTTAGAAAGAAATGCAAGAAAACACAAGCCTGATTCTGTCAGTAAGACAAGACAGAGGTCACATGCACTAAAAGATAAAATATTGCATATTCTGAATGTTTGCAGGATTCTCCTCCTTTAATAAGAGCACTTCAATATGGCCACTTAACTTTTGGTAAGCCCTACAGGTGAATGAGCATTACATTCTTTTTCCATAATATTTTCAGTAAAATGATGACTCCATTGTATTTTATAATATGTAAAGAAGCCTTAAAAACAGCCATGAGTTTTTACTGTTTATTTCCCCCACTCACATATCAGAAATACCAAGTCTAGTCTTCACCAGCTATAAAGGATGCTTGTGAAAGTTTCAGGGTACGGTTGCTTATGTCTCTCTACAACTGATGAAAAGCAGCTGTTTTGAATCTGAAACCCCTCCTTTATCAGAACCATTATATACTGAAGCTATAGATATTCATTCTTTGAACCATGCAAAAAATATAGCGCTCTCCCTAAAAACAGTTGAGATTTCATTTGATCCCGAGTCATCACTAGGCCCACAGAGTCTTAATGTTTCAAAGCTATAAGTATTTTTCCACACAAAAGGCAAGAAGAAAAAACACACCCACTTGAAAATCCTCTTTATCCATGATAAAAATGGCCATTAACACTATTAAAGCAAGAACAGTAGTAACATTTTCCATCAATTCTGACCAAAGAATTTTAACAATTCTTACAACGGAAGAGAGGTCAGTATAGCTATATAGCCTGCCTTTATCACTTCCCTATCACAATCAGACATCCGTGACACTGGTCAAAATTAGGGCAACACAGATGTACCTGTCCCAAAGAAGCGTTCTAGCTAAGAAATACCTGGTTTATGGACAAAAACTGGCTAACTGAAGGCTGAAGAACAAGCAAAACCACAGCACAAGCAAGACAGAAAAGTATGTTTACCTTCCCGATTTGGTAGCAGATTAACACAAAACCAGAAACGGTGGGAGGAGGGACGTAAAGGTTGTTATGAATACCTACCAGCTGTTACCAGCACAAGGTTTTGCCACAAATTCACTATTACAGCTCTTCCCCTAAAACTGAAAAGTTTCTCATGCTACCTGTTCATGTACTTCCTTCTTAGCAGAAACATTTACACCAAATTACACTTGTAACTGGTAGTTACATGTCTCCAAACAAGCAAAACTGGATTTTTTCTTTTTCCAAATACGTAAGTTTAATACATATCCTGTAAGTATTGCTATCACTTGTTAAACAAGTAACACTTCCTATATTTAAGAACTGAAGAAAATTGTTTGAAGTTTCACAGAAAAAAAAAAAAAAAAAAGACTGCAGATGTAGCATTACTTACAAGGCAGTTATCACAAATGCTACTTTCTTTTCTTTTTTGTGGTCATTCATTCTGTTTCACAAAGAGGTTTAAAATTATTACATCTCAAACGAAAGCCTATAAAAACATACTGAAAGATACAACATGCTTAAAAAGAGTTTTCTTGGTTTCACAAGCTTTTCTTGTTTCTCTTTTATGAAGAGCTAAGAAATTAAAATTAGCATTTGAAAGTATCCAAAAGATTGTTTAAACTTCGCATTTAGGTGTCAGATTCCACAGGTGCGATTTCTCATTAAGTACAGTGAAACCTTCTTGAAATCAATCTTGCTAGGCAACCTCCAACCTCTGTTCTTAACATTATAAAGCAAAACAGTAAAATTCTGATAAAAACTGAAGATACTCTCAGACAAATAATCAACTAAAAGATAGAGCCTAAGGTGAGCATGGAAAGAACACACTGCATATCTGTTCTCTTACTTTACATATTGAGGGTATTGAGGTCCTATAACTTCTGGTTAAGAAAAGAACCTTAACTCATACCATTTCATTGTGTAGTCAACTCTTCTGCCATTATTATACTCATTATAACTCATTATACTCATAACTCATGTCAGAGGTCTTTTAGTTTTAATTTTAAAAAGCATTAATAAAAAGAGCACATAAAGTGCACTACTGGGAACACTTGAGCACCCGGACTAAGAGACAGGATTTCTTTTTGCAATAAAGCTAATAATTCTTCAAATAGAAAACAAAATCATGCTGGCACAGCGTTTTGCTTCTCGAACTAAACCGCTTGCAAGACAAGTACTATTAGAGCAGAATACTTTTTTCACAGAATTATTAAAATTGCAGTTTAAATTGACTTGTAACAATGTAAGCTTTAGGGAAACGTCTGGTTTTATACCGATTCTGGCTTCCAATGGACCAGAACTCTTTATTTACTGTTAATTCACAAAAGTTAATATATTATCAGTCAGTTTGCTGGCTAATATCTATACAAAACAGAATCTCTCAAGAAGTACTTTGAATTCAATCAGGAAAAGTGCAATTCCTTACCTGATAAATTTTGCAGGTACGTACTGCATCCCTCAAGATCTTACCACTCAAATGGCAAATTAATATAATGCCTCAATTTCTAACTCTCCCCCAGTTAAACAAAAAATAGAAATCGAAGTTTCTAATAAGCACTCAACCTTCAACATTATTACAGGAATACCTTTAATATGAAAGGCACTATCATTAAACAATAAAAAAAATTTAGAAAACCCACACACTCATTAAATACACACATTAAACCCAAAGTAATTTGGAACCTACTGTCTAAAGCAAACACATGCCTCAAGTCTTCTTGCATGCAAAGCTTCTCCTGTTTCATTTAATTCTCCTTATAAATATATGGGAAGATGTTAATTCTAAGCATTTAGTATTTTGTATCTCAACATAGAATAAACATCTTCATGCTTACAGCTTCTGTAAAATAAATTTACTAGTAATACAATGACAGCTTCAGGAGATGAGGAAAATGCATTGAAAGTGGCATTACCATCCATTCTAGACAGCAGTTTCTGAAATGCTTAGAAAGCTTTTCAACTTACAGGCCTCTAAGAACCATGATAAGAAAGAGGAGACACTAAAAACAAAAGAAGTTATATTTTGCACTGCGATATAGATTCATGCCATCTGTGCAAAGTAAGAACGCTAATTATTTTAGAACATCCTGTTCTGAATTATTCTGCTGACTTGAAAAAGTCAATACTTATCTATGCAGAAATCTTTGTGAAAGCCATGGTAATATCAGCAATAAAAAAAAATAAATTTGGCAGAGGGAAAAGTAAAATTATTAATCTACAGGTAACTTTTTTGAAAGTTTACCTGTATGGTTTTTTATGCAAAACTAGAGGAGACAACCCTTTTTACTCTACAGTCCAAGATAATTAATACTGAACAACACTTACCTCCCGGGTGTCTCCCAAATAAAAACCATCAGTTGCGCAAAAGTGCACTAGACAATATTTATCTATTTATTTTGTTTTGTTGCTAGTTTTGGTTTGTTAAAACAGAGTCATGATCCAACTGAGTTCTTCAAATAAGTCAAGCTACATTTGGATTATCACATAAATTGTGACTTTAAAAAAAATCTTGCCTGTGACATTAGACTAAAATTCTGCAGAACAATGACATTTTGTATCCTGTACCATGACTAAAATTTGAAGCAATTATTTATTAGCATGGCAGACCTGAATATAATTAATACTTGATGCATTATATTTACCATTCTGTAAGCCCATCCACAGTTGCTTATGATCCTTTTTTTGCATCTCATTGATGACTTGACTTTTGTGTTTTAAAGCATCTGCTTCTTTTATACAAGCCATAAAATGAGCTTCAATCACATCCTTAGAATGGCAATGTAAAAGATCCTTTTCTGGAAAATTCTACGAAGAGAAAAGATAGATCAACAGAAATACATGCATCACACACCTTAGAAGATGAAGAATAAATTGTAATTTTAATCACGTTTATATTTATACAAAAGAAGCACAGTGGAATCTTCTACTTATGGCAGAAGGTAACAACCATTCTCCCACTCTGCTGACAAGCAAGGTTTTTACAGTGAAAAACATTTCAGGAAAAATAAAAGTTGAACAATTTCCTGTAAAACCAGAAGTTACACTGAATCAACCAAACCTCAACTGGATAAATACATTTAAATACATCAGTGGAACATTTAGGCCCTTACATCCAAAATTCAGGAAATGAGTTTTAACATGTTCTCAAGCAAATGTTCAATTCTCTGGCAATGAACAGGAGAAAAAGGGGAGAAGTAAATGACAAGCACCCAAGTCCTATTGACTCTCAATGGCAGTTTAACACCTATTTCTGTACAGGCCTTTGAAAAATGTTTCCTCCAAGTATCATCATCCATGGATATGAACTATAGCATATATGCCACTTACAAACATTTTTCCTTAGATACTGGAAATCCTTGTCAGTTCCAACTTTACCTAATACATGCACCTATTGCTAGCCCATCTGACTATTTCATACTCCCTTTTTTTTTTGGTTAGAGTTGGTGTACTGTCTTCAACATTGCAGATGCACAGTTACCACTCCTCAGGTAACTTTTATTCCCTCTGTAAATTACAGCTACCTTCCTTAATTCATTTATTAAGGAATTACAGTAGTAAATCTCATTCATGTACAAAAAAAGATTTCTTTGGAAATTAACTAATCAGAAGTTCAGCATCGTACAGGTATACAGATAGAGTTGTTCTTCCTCTAATTTTTCTTTCATCAACACTTAGTATCACTTGCCATTTTACAATAATACAAGCATCCAGTATCACAAATTCATTGTCTTTAGTTTTCAAGGTTTAAAGACCCAGCATGTTTTATCCCCTCCTTATTAATCTTCTTTTCGCCGTTGCTTATGACCATACTGAACAGTGCAAACCCCCAGAGCCAAACCAGAGTGGCATCAGTAGTACTCCCCTTCATAACAGGAGCCTGCCATATATTTTTATACTTCACTTCTCATCTGTTATTCCACAAGAGGACCTTTCCTCTTAACCCGTTACAAATTGTCTATTTAAAAAAGTTTGTGAGGGACTGTCAAAACCGTTTTGGAAATACAAGTACATATAATGGGATATTTTTTAAAGGCTTTTACAACATAGTTAACATGTCACAGTAGGAGCAATATAATGCTGGAAAAACCCATACCTTCCCTCCTCCACATAAAACCAGGAAAAATAGTGAAGACTGCTTCAAACTACAGGAACTCAAAATATCCAAGAACCACTAACAGTTGGCAATACGAAAGGGAGCTGGGGATTGCCTTACCTGAAGGAAATTCTGAGGACGAGAATGATAGTTCCCTCCTCATTGGGTTACTGAAAAAAGTTGGAAATTAAATAACGGAATTTCATATCATGATTCCTCCTTATGACAGTGAACCCAGACTCTGGAAACTGTGGATCAAAAGAATGAGTATCTTCCAAAACCAGAAGTATAAAGGGAAGAGAAGACTGCTAATATCTTTTCCACCAAAGCATACACAGTTTGGTGTTGAACTCACAAAGGGAGTACTATTGTTACTTAGGACTGATGTATATACAGCTGACTAGAAATCTAAGGACAGAGATAAAGTTTGTTTCTCACATGAGAATGGCCAAGTGTAAAGACATGAAAGAGGACAGAACAGAAAGGAGAGTTCTCCTTCTAGGGCAGACCTCGCTCCCTTTCTGCCCTACAAAGCAGAGTGTCTCAGACTAATTGGACCCAAGATGAATGGAACATGTTACTGGGATTATTAGTTGCCAGCTGACATCTGTATAGGCCTGTAAAATACTTTCAGAAGCTCAACTTACTTGCTCAAACAAAAAAAAGTAAAGTCTGGTAACCAATCCAGAAGAACAGTCAGAAATAGCATACTTCAAGATCAAAAAAGTTCTTTACATGCAAGAATGTGAGACAAAGTGAGACACTGGCATCCCTGAAAAAAAGATGAAGCAATGGAAGGTACCTAACACCAAGTAATATAGGAAGCTAGAAACTGACACTCACAGTTAAAAGCTGAAGTTTTAGCTAAGTTTATGAAAACAACAGTTTTGTTACAACTGTTTTCTTACACATATGTTGAAATATACTAAACTGCAGGGTCTTTTTTTTTTTTTGGACATTCCTGTCTTTCTACAGGTAGGCATCTCCCTATTGACTTTCTTCCGATAATTTTCAAATTACAGGGAATGTCACTCCCTGGGGATGTGTTCCAGACAACGTACTCAGTGTGGTCTGCAGAAAAGCAAGGAGATATTTAAAATGGGTGAAAGCTAGCTAAGCTAGTGGAAGGAATCTAGCCACAGTAGTACAAAGGTGTGGCATGATTCATTTTCCCAGCTTCTAAGGGATAACACTATGGAAGACTGGAAAACACTCCTACAATCTCAGTGCTGTCAGCTCTCCTCTTTAGAAGAAAAATACTGACACAGTTCTATGCAGTACTGTGGGTAGAAGCTGAAAAACCTAAACATGAAAGTGATAACTTAGAAAACAACACGGCTGCATCTACAAGAGGCATATGAAACAGTTTCACCTACATGAGACTACCAACAGAAAATATGGCATCCCCACTGACTTATAAACTAGAGCACAGAATAATAAATTTTATACTTAAATACAGAACATGTATGCTTGTATTTTTTTTAATTCTTCTTGCCTTCTTTCTACTTGAGGAAATAGTGATCAAATGTAAATAACTTTATTCAGTTCCCTAAATTGAGACAATTGTAAACAAGCTTGTAGCCACCCTTAGCTACAGAGCTATGAGATCTGCAGAAAGTTTTAACACATCCCGTAGGCAGCTTTAATTCAAGTACTCTTATTGGTGATGTCTTACTGCCTCCATATTCCGCATCTTTGAAAGAAAAGTTATTAAGAGTTGACTCTGATTTTCTCAGAAAGCTCAAGTAGTACTGGTTTTGTTTCACATACCAGTAGACACTTGCAGCATAAACTTGGTCATAAAGCAGTAGGTATCATCTGTACAGACAGGAGCACTAAATGACCTCTCACATAAAACTTCCAAAACCACTGCAGGTAATTTCAACGGTCTGGTTTCATAACTCCATTCCACCCATATTTATCTATTAGTTCTAGTTCACAAAACATCTCCCTATACTGTGACAATCTAGTTCCATTAGACCATGTTTGCAGAAAATTACAGCAATGAGATAGGGCATTAAAAAGCACAAGGAACATATCCAGTGACAGGGGCATCCATGTATTTGTGTTTAGTTACCATCATTGGTCTTTTTTTCAAAAAAGATTGATTTTAGAAAACCCTCTTTTATACTTCTGGCTTCCACAATGTCTCCTAGGAGTTCCACATTTTATTCATATGCTGCATGGAAAAGTACTTCCTTTTCACTCCACCTGACCCAATTTTGAGCTAAGAAAACCAATGACAACTATTGTTACACAAAAATAGATGCAGTCTCTCCTCCTCTACATCAAGTCATGGGTGGAGAGGCAGGCACCAGCAGATAAGGGCTTCAGCAGAGGAAGAATGTTAGCCTTTCCCCTGGCACACCCAATTTCCTCTCCTGCTACCATTTCCAGAGAAGTTCACCACCTCCTATGTACTGCCCAAAATCTGGAGAGCTGGTTACCACTCTGAGAACATGAATAGTGCTAAGCATACCACAGAGTAGCATGAGATGAGTTTAACAGGAAGGGATAGAGTTTCCCTCCTCCCTGTAAAGCCACACCTGGGTAACAAAAGCAACTTCCCGGACTACAGCTTCTCGTGATTCTCAGACCTTAGTATCTGCTCAAGCTCATCTTTCTATGACTATTTAAGGCAAGTGTATTTCAACTTTACTAGAGATAGAAACGCATGTTGTTTTATTGCATACCAGAAGTACAAATGAATAAACTGTTTCTTCAATGCAAACAATAAGTGTGTTTATTTGGTCTGCACACATAACACAGGAGGACAATTACAAGCATCTGTCAACTTTCAAACTTCTGCTGAACAGAAATAAACTTTTTTCATGTTTTTAACTTTAAACAAAGAAAACTGATGGGGGGGGAAGTTAAAAACCACTCTTTACAGATGGTTGAGATATCCGTTGTTGACTGCATGCTTTGGTAAAAGAAAGGAGAAAGCCATGACAGCAAAACTTAAACCCCAGAAAAATCTAATACTGTTCAATTAAGCCAGATTAAAACTGTGACTCTCTGAAGAATAACTACACACAAATGAAAAGAATATTCCAGACAGGAATCCCACACCTAAACTATTTAGCTGTAACAAACTGTAACACATGAAAATGTCTTCAATACTTTGACATACTTTGATACATTTCAGTTATGTTTTGACTTTAAGGATTAAAAGGAATTTATTTAAATAAACTTTCAGATTACATCAAAAACAGGAAGAGAGATTAAGCAGGTGCTTAATCCAAGGTGTTATATTTTTAAAAACTAGATTACATCAGCTTTTAAAATAGTACTGCCTTAGCAGTAAATTATTTCTGCTGATCTTTAATGTACACCTTTGAGACAAACTTAAATTAGCTGATCTTTTGGCAAGCAGCAATATAAGGACATTAAAGTCAGTTTACATTACTACATGAAATTGAAAAGCACTGTGGTGCTGCAACTTATTGCTCAAGATGGCTCTACTTTGGGATGGCAACATCCACACACTGCCACTGTTAATCTCCCACAGCTCTCAGAACACGTAACAATTAAATCATGAATTAGGAAACTACAGTTTCTTCAAAACAGTCTAGAAGTTTCTTCATCCCAGCTCTCTGACATATATCAGACAGGAGTGTAGCAGTTACAACAGTTTCAAAAACATCCCTAACTTCAGATTCATTCATTCACTCAGTCATTTTAAAGGGTTCAACATGTGGAAATACATATTGTAAGAATGTATGATTTCAGTGCACACTTCCAAAAAGAACCAGACTACTCCTGTTAGCAAGACCTTTTCTAAAACACCTTCAAGAGAAGAATTGCTTGAAAGAAAACTTTCAACACAACTGTTTCTTAGTATACTTTTAATTTCATCTCAAATCTCACACACTGAAATCAAGCCTATTAACGTAGCGTTTTCCTTTGGGTCAGTTTTCCTATCGCATTGTTTCTTGTACAACTGAGAAATTAAAGTTTAAAAGTTAAATACCATGATTTCTAGTTGTGATTTTGACTTCAAAACATACCTAGGATTATTGACTCAATGCATTTCAGAGTATGAAAGAATCCTGCAAAGCTAACCCTGCGCAACTACTCTTCTGAGCAAAGATCAGTAGTGCTATGAAGTCATACCTAATGGCTTTACAATGTGTAATCAAAATAACGTCTCTCCTGTGACTAAGTTGTCACAAGACCAAACTCATTCCACTCAGTTCTCTAAAGGGGGCCCACATGAAGTACAACAGCATTCCCTGACTTCAAGGATTTCTACAATATCTCACATCCATGGCCACATCCCTAAAAGGATGAGCACTTCTCAATCTTCCCAATCTTCAGTCAACTCAAGCTGACTGAATTAAAAACCTTATAGAAAGTTCTTCCCTTATATCCACTCAACTGCACTGACAAAGTCTCATAACTTAGCTTGAAAAACAATTTTGGATTTTCAGATTATAATAGAATCATTTTCAAAGGAAAGTAATTTGAAAGCACATACAATCTCATGGAAAACACCTGTAGACTTACAGAAAACTTTAAATGATTCCTGAAGAATGAACATTCTCCCCCTCAGGTCATACCATTCACTTATTTATAAAATAATTCTGAAACCTTTTCCTAGCTTCCAAATTTCACGTAATCTCACATTCACTTGTTCTTAACTAAAGGTGTATTTCAGTTTTACCTTGAAATGCACTGTGATGCTCCAAGGAAGGGCTGTATTTGATGCATGGAGATCAAACAGCAAACCAATTGGGTAATGCCTAAAAATGAAGAGATATTAAAAGAATATGAAAGGTGTGCATTTAATTCTGCATATAGCAGTTAACATACCTGCATTTACATGAAAAATAGCTGTTTGACTCCCACAATTAACTTTCATTACTGCTTATTGAGAAAAGTTATACAGGCAGGTATAAATGACTGACAGTTTCTGGCAGAATCAAGTCTGGAATTTACATGTTCAATATCTAAACCAGTGATCTCCAAGCTGTGCCCACAAAACACTGCTAAGTATTGCAACAGTGTAAGTGGCCTATAGCTGCTCTGTGGAATCCTTCAAAACAGTATTTTTAGTTAAAAAGCTTGATAATGGTAGGAATAGCTGGTCTGACAGAAAAGTATACATGCTTTCAGATATTTAAACACCATGGGTTTATACCACATCAACCCTTAACATCTCTTCCCTCTCCTACCTGCCTGATGTCATTGTGGAGAATAAGCAGTAAAGTGAAAAAATGACATATCTATAAAAGGGCTGAAAGAGGATAGATCAAGGTGAACTCTATATCTTTACTATCAAATTTATAAAAATGGAAGGGGGAAAAAAAGATTAATGGGAGTTTTGTATTTCAGTGGTGTTCTGGATTAAAGGAGTTACACAAAGAAACAGCTTCCTCCAAATACTCACTTCTGTTTTATAGCTTTGTCTCCTTTAAATTCATTAGAAATTACAGCCTCCAGCAATATAAGGAATATATACACAAAACTTACACAGGCACTCTAAAAAGGTCTTTCTGCAGTTTTCTCACAAGCAAATACTGCCAAGATTTTTGATAAAAATTTTTTTTTTTTTGCATTCAGCATGCCAAGCTCCATTCTCTTACCTTTCAAAAATCTTAACTAAGAGAGCCTTACTAGCTTTTCATCCTACAAAGATAAGCACACACTTAACTGTAAACTCAGTAGCTTCACTGAATTAAATGGGACTGATCACAGGATGCAGAGCCAAGCACGTACATAAGTTTTGAAAGTCCAGAGAGCAATAACTGAGAGCACTGCTCTAAAAGCACCTGTGCCAAACCAGTTTCCTGACCAGCTAAACTCTCACACAACAGTACTTTAGCACCCTCTACAGGTGAGCTAGGCCCAAAGCTAACGCAAAGTCACCACAACAGCAAAATAACAAAACCATAGTACTACAATTCTTGAACTTACCTATTGCATTTGTAACTTCTTAAAAGAAAGAATAGGGGGAAATATCAAGAAGGTATCTAGAACTGTGTTTTCCTGACAAAGGGAATAAAGAATATAGATAATGCATATCCAGATTTATCCCGATTCACTGCTAATGCGCAAGTTTTTACCACTAAGACTTTTTACAAACTGCCAATCACGTCTTGACTATTTCAACAGGGATTCAGCAAGAGTTCCATGAAAGAGTGGTTTTCCAGGTGAGGTAGGTAAAAGAAAATCAGATTTCCTTTGATAATTAGATGAACTCAAACAATGAATTTCAGTTACTTTCAATTTATACAACAAAATAGGTAGCTAAAAAAAAAAAACAACCCAAAACATCAGTTCTTGGCCTACCTCTATATTTTCTACCCAGTTCAGATTGCAAAATGAAGTTCACATACTCAAGCTTTCTTCAGTAGAATCCTTGTGCTTTGCACAGTTGATAGATTGTTTTTATTGTGAAAGAGGCCAGCCCTAAATTCATTTTGTTCCACAGCAGAACACAAGATGAATGAGGACAGTAGACCAAGAGAGAAATCATTTTCTATTCAGAAGCGCAGCCTTCCATTAAGAGTAAAGTTCACAACAGGAGTGAAGCAATCCTGAGATACAGACATGTCCTGCTTCAAACTCCAGTTCTCACAGACTAGCATTTAATCTGAAGCCAATAGAAGCCTTAAGTAATGCCTGTACGTAATGCTGCATTTCATTTATTTTTGAGATACAGTTACAAGCATTTTTTAAGAGTCTGGAAACAACAGCACTCCATATAGCAATACTAAAGCTATTCTTTACATTTCCCTTATAATAAAACCTGGTTTCTTAACCAGGATAGAGAATTAAGGGAGGCGTAAAGAGAGAAGTTGAGAAGAAAAGAAGCCTTGCCAATCTGTACAAGGAATACCACCCCCAACATTCCCTCTCTCCATTCTTTAGTGTGTATCTACCTGGTGCAATAAGCCAGTATTCCTTCATTAAAGATCTCGCTTCCAGTAGTACTGCTGCAATGCTGTTTCTGAACTTCTATTTGAAAAACAGGCATTGCAATTAAAGAAATACACAAATGCTCTCTAAAGCCTACAGTAACCAGAATTTTTTAAAAAAATAAATAAATTTTAAAACCCCAGAAAGCCTTTAAAGATTTGCCCCCCCAAAAAAAGAAAAGAGAAAACAAACAGAACAACAGCTAAGGGAAGTATCCAGCCCAGAAAGGTCTAATTTTAAAAAAAATATTATTATTGAAATCAAACTGGTCTTAACTAGAGTGGGAGCCAAGGACAGGCAGACTGTGCAAAACATTTTCAAAGGAAATAATGCGAAAAATATCAAAGATAAAATGTCTAAGAGAACACATCTTTTTATACAAGTTGCCAGAACAATGATTGCTTCAGGAAAACCTTCAATCTATAGAAGTGTAACAGCACCCTGACTTCCAGCCATTGCCAATTTATTACTGCTTTTATTATTACACAGAAGGTGGTTTCTGAGTGTGAGAAAAGTCCTGGAAAACACCATGTTAAGTACTTAAAATCCTTTTGAAAGTGACAGATGGACAGTAAGGAAAGACTGTTTTTCTAACCATTTCTTTCTGAACCCAGGACAGAAAGTGACAGCATGAGCTGGTAGGTTGTTTTCAGACCAGAATAATTTACTGTGGTAATTCAGTAACACATGTCACATGAACTGGTAAATCCAGGATGATAAAATCCTATGCTCCAGAACTGTCTGGAGTACTAAGTATATCAAGTGGCCAAAATCTCGTGTTTAGGTATTTCTATGAACAAACACCTCATTGAGGGAAATTTTGGCTGCAGCAGAAAATAGTCTCACCGTTTCCTTTAGTATTCAGTAAGAAATATTTTTTTCTTAGATCTTTCAAGCAAATGCTAACATTTTCAAACAATGTCACCTATGCCTGATCAAATGGTGCTTTGACCTTTTGTCTTCCACTGATTCCGGATTAGGAAGGGTCAAGCATCCATCCAGTTGATACTAGAGAGACACCTATGCAACTACCAGGGCAAGAGCACAATCCACAGAAAGGGGACAGAAATCCTGCGGAAGGCCACGTGCAAGTGCTCAAATAGGATGGTAACAAGCTATAGGGTGTCATCCTCTAGCATCTGCTGAAGAACCACCCCTGACACATCAGAGGCCTTCACTCAGGCAGAGCTTCTGAGAGGGGATGCAGCTCTCCAGGTCTGAAGCTGCCAGGAGAGCTTGGGACCTCTTCTGAGGGCTGGGGCAAGCAGAGGAAATGTCCTTGCCTACAGGAAGCGTGTGTTAGCAGAGGAGCTATGTCACCAAGTTAGGGAGCTGCCAGGAGGTCAGTGGGCTGCACAGCATCAGAGAAGATAAAAAGAGACTGATGGCCATCTTCACTGAGACCTTGCAGAGATGAGAGCTTGAACTCCCAGCTGCACATAAAGAGGGTCTGCAGTCATTGGAGTGGTGAATAGAGACTCACAAGATGGGGAAGACTGGAGTCTTGCAACCTCTGGCAAGAGAAGGCAGGCTCCTTCTCCACCTGCAGGGGCTGGAAGTTCTGAGGAAGCATTAGAGCAGCCTGAGCAGCACATCCACACCAAGAGGAAGCAGTCATAGCAGTAGAAGACTCCCTCCTGCAGGGGACAGAGCCCTCCCCCATCTGCCAATCTCACTTGCTACCTGCAGAGGTTTGCTGCTTTTTAAGAAGTCGCAGACAGACTGGTAAGGTTTGCCCTGTGCTTGGATTATTAGCCCTTGCTGTTCAACCACATAGGCACAAATCTTAAGTGCTGTGAGGGAACCTTTGAGTGTATCAAGAGTCACTATACAGCTCCACAGGCAAGGTGGCACCTCCACAATTTCACCATTGAAGGAGAAAGTCTCAGAGAGGTGTGAATGCTGGTCAGTAACTGCACGTCAATAACTGGTTGTGCAACTGGTGTGACAACAAGGACTTGGCCTTTACAGCCACAGAACACTCTCTGGGGTTAAAGGACTCTTAGGGAGAGATGGAATCCACCTAAGTGGGGCAAAAGTATATTTTCCTTCAGGTTGGCCTGCCTGGTGAGGAGAGCTTCGGACCATAAACAACAGGGGCGTGAATAAAAACACACAGACAAGTAGAAATTAATGGACATGGGTGGAAAGCAAGTGGTTGAAAGGTGACAGCTACAAGGGAGATCTCAAAATTATAAAAGAGGGTAGAGGAGTCTACAAGTGTATGTACATAAATGCACACAGCTTGGGAAACAAGCAGGAGAAACTACAGCTCCACAGGCAGTGACATAACTGCGACAGTGTTGGGCTACCTGAGGCACAGCAAGACAGCTTGCACAACTGGAATGCTGTTGTGGATGGATGGACAGACACAAGCTGCTCAGGAAAGACAGGCAGGGCAGATGAGGGAAGATGGTTGTCTTGCATGTGAGGGAGCAGCTTAGATGTATGAAACTTAATGGGACAGACAACAGGTTGGTTGAGACCTTGTGGTTCAGTGTCAGAGCAGAGACTAGTAAGGGCAACATCATGGTGAGTTTGTTACAGATCATGCAATCCAGGCAAGGAAGTAGATAAAGTCCTCTTTAAACAACTCAAGAAGTTTCTGCATCACAGACCCTGGTTCCTGTTAATCTCTGACATCTGCTGGAAAAGCAACATGGTGGGACACAAGTATTCAAGATTACTTGATACAGGCACTGGATGGACCAGCGCTGACCCACTGCTGAATCTGTTACTTACTAACAAGACAAAATAGTTCTGGACATGATAATCAGTGGCAGCTTTGACTGTAGTGACCATGAAAGGGCAGAGTTCAAGATCCTGGAGAGATTGATAAAGGAGAATAAGCAAAATCCAGACCTTTGACTTCACTCGCCACTTCCTCCTGGTGCCCCTGCACAGTTCAGGCTCAGCCACCTCAGATGCATCATTGGACAGAGCTTTCAGTCCCTCACCTGCAGCCAGAGCGCTGAACCTATCCTGTAGTTACAGAAATGCATGTGGAGAAGGAGCCTTCCTCCTGCTGCCGGAAGTCACAAGCTTCCAGCCCTTCCATATCTTAGGAGGCTATTTTCCAATCCAATAATCACAGACTCTGCCTGCATCTCCTTCAATGTAGTTGTAGGTTTAGGCTCCTGTAGCTGCATGGTCTCTAAGAAGATTCGATCCATTTCCTTTTGTAGTCTGTGATGCTGCACAGTCTGATGACCTCTTCCTGCAGCTTGTTAACTTGGTGACACAGACCCTCCCCCAGCACACACCTCCTGCAGGCAAGGAGACCATCTTCCCCTGCCCAACAACCTCAGTGGGAGGCCCCAGGCTTGGTAACTCCAGATCTGGAGAGCTTCAGCCTTCTTCAGGAGCCTGGCCTGAGTGCTGCGCACCATGAAGTTAAAGCTATGTTTCAGACTTCCTCCAAAATCTCACTGGAAAACAAAAGAGCTGCAGCTGGAAAGAGATACAGTACATCCCAAACCAGGTATGAAACCGCACAGACTGTAAGCAATATGACCTCACAGTGCAAAGTACATAATTAGAATAAGCAATATTATTAGCAAGTTCTATTTGATTCTGAATGCAGAAGTTATATTTAAAAAGATTAAGCATTAATGCTCACTATTCTTTCTCTACAAAACTACTAGCTCATTCTAATTCTCAGTTCTGATACTTGGGTCTTCTTTGGAACAAGCTTCAGTTATTTAGGGGATTACCCTTCTCCTAAAATAATGGTTTGCAGATAGCATTTTCCTTAGAAAACCAATTTCACTGAAATCAGTGGAGCTGTTCCTGGCAGAATATGCTTAGATTTTCTGAAATATCAGAGCCTTAATTAGTAAATCACAATTACACTATCATTTTCATTTCAATGTTCAATGAGTTTACTAACTCTTCAGTTAATTTTAGAATTATAAATTATATCTTTACTCTATACCTATATTCTAGATATATATTTTATTAATTTATTTGAAAACTTACAGAAGATACAGATCTGTTTTTGGTTGAAGTAAAAAGTCTCTCTTTCCTTTCTTGTTACAACCTCAGTGAAAAACTTATGAAGTTTTCTCCCATTATCTACCTAAGATTATGAACACACTGGGACAAACTTGGTACCTCGCCGTTTATTCAGATGGTATCCATGACTCAAGGTCACTATGGCACACCAAGAAACCAATTATTTTTAAATTCCAAATAATTTAAGTAGATTTCTAAAGCGGGTTTGCCAGCCAGTTTTGAAAAAGTCAAAAAAGCTACATTTTATGCTTTTCTATTTACGTATTTTCAAGGTTTATACTAGGTTGGTCTCAAAGAAACAAGAGACTAGAAGGTATCTACTGCATCACCAAGTCTAAAGGGACTCCATGATGTGATGCTCACTAATCACAAGACAATCCAGCTTCAAGAAGCTAAAACAGTCACTGGTGTTTTTCTTTCCTATTATGATACAGGAAATAAAGATAGATATAAAATCTCTTCAACATTCAAAATACGAAATACTTTCTGGAGAGCTGATGCTATCTGTACAGAGCTAGCAAACATTGCAGGTCTCAAAATGTTTTCTTTAAAACTCTTCATGGCAGAATTGGAAAGAAACAAAATCTGATGAACAGTATTTATGAAAACTAAGTAAATGAAACAATGTCAGTCTGATTCCCCAACCTCTCAGAAAAAAAAAAAAAGAAGATACTTTTAATAGACTATATGACAGAACAAAAATAAAAACAACAAAAGCCTGAGCATCAGCATTAGATTATCTGTTTTACAGTGCAAGTGCATATCACACCAGTGAGAAGTGAATGTTACACACATTTTATTATCTTTAAGCATATATCCTATCTGCATTCAGACTCCAGAAATAATATTTCCTATCTGTGTTATTAGGCATCTTTTAAGAAGGTGGAATAAGCTAAACAAAGATTTATTTTGTGATTCTACTGCAAGAAATGGTAAAGCCAAAACCACAGCCATTTCGTATTATGGTAACAACTAGAACAAAAACAATAGGTTTTTGTGCAATAAGGCACAACCTCTGCCTTATACCTATAGTAAGTAAAAGCAGAAAAATCAAAAATATGTTCAACATTAAACCTTCTTCTATTCTTCCCCAAACAACATGCTTTTCTTACGCTCCTCTTTTGCCATCTTTGCAACCCAATGGAGTGGTTAGTTTAGGAAAAGTACTGACACCGTGCTGAACTTGATAACTCCCTACATGATAAACTGAGTAAAGGTACAAAGTTAAACTCACCATTTCAGTGGTGTACCTTCATATTCAAACCATATTTCACTAACTTCCTCTTGTCTCATAACTTTCTGAAAGTGTTTCTTCACTTTGTCCGTTACCAGTGTCAAGTAGCTTATCCTTGGCAAAAGCAACTGAAAGAAAAAAATTATAGAAGCTTTAAGTATATATAAAATTTACTAAATCAATAAAAATCTGTAACAAGTATGCATTTGCATAACCAAAATTCAGTCAGCATCCTTTTTCTCCCCCCCTTTAAGGTAAATTCTTTTAGACTGTTTACTTATTAATGGTCAATGAAATGCTATAAAATTATGTACTCAGAAAACGCAGAATAGCAATATCCAACATGCTAACACACAAAAGTTAAAAAAAAAAAGTTCTTGATTCTTTTGGTGTGGTGGGAGGGAGAAGAGTAGAATTTAATTATTTAATTTCTGCTTTTCTGTATTTAAGCAGGCCAAAGAATGAAGTTTTTAACCATTGTCATATGAACAGATAGGAACACATTCTAACTTCTTATTGAATATCACGAGCAACTGTCTATCAGCTATTATTTCAACATGGAAATTCATACAAAATTAAAGAATGAAAACTATCTACTTAAGGGTTTGGTTTCCAAGTGCTTTTTGTATTTCCAATAGCTGGCAATTTCCATTTTCTTTGCACTGGGTTTGCCAATTCAACATGTTAGTCAAGGCTACTATGATTCTTCCACTATTTAACCTTTGCCCAGCTACTAAAATCAGAAAGAAAACTGTCAGTATTTTATCAGTTGAAACAAGATGCCTTCTTACAGCTTTCTGGTATACTATCTTTTTTTCCTCAAGTGTAATGTTATGCACTATCCAGAACAGAATGCTGTGTTATTTTTATTTGCAATCCCTCCCCCCGCCTTTTTTTTTTTAAAGTCTCATGCCTACTAAGAGTGGTTAAGCAGACTGCATCAATCAGTGTACTGACTGATGACTGTATAGCACATTTACTTAAGATTAATCAGTCCATAAGCTTTAACGAACAATGCCTTTCAGTATCCCAATAAGAAAAGATTAACCTCCCTGTAAAATAAGATTTAGCTCTGGAGCAGACATTTTAAATAAATTGTATTCATCCTGTAAAGTTATTTTCATTTCCTAATTATTAATAAAATAGATGGGTCTAAGGAATAAATAGAAATAAATTATATTTTGCATATTTAGAGGAAGAAAAACATTTGGTTTCCAGTGTTCCTCATAACCAGTGTTGTTTCTTAAAATAGTTTATTTATAGTATATTAATAATGCTAGGCTTTAGGCAAATGTCCATGGTACAGACATCCCAAACTACATAAGGATATATTTTGCCTGACAGAAAACTTGATCTCTGCTGCAACATTCTTCCAGAGTCTCTCCCAATTAGACCACACTTTGATATATAAATTAGATAACATTTTGGCCACGATACTAGAATTTATTTATAAATATCAGATTCACTACTAAGAAGTACAGAGAGTAAATCAAGACTAAGTTCTTATGAAAGAGAATAGATCTGTCTTTTAGATAATGCTGCATTAGGTTACTAATCTGCATACATCTGTGAAACAACTAAATTTTAGGATTATATAAAACTACAAAAGATCAAGACTCACCACTATCACAGTCATCAAGTCAGTTAACACTTGATCTTTTATGTGCCATATGGTTTTCTTTTTCTATCTGTTACTCTTATTACCATCACCATATTGTTTCTGCCTTCTTTCACAGGAGTCTAATTCAGCAAGGTGATTAAACACAGCCTTCAGTTTTAAAAGGTGAACAATCTCAAGAAATTCAATGAAGTCATGTACATACAAGTGAGAAATGCTTGGTACCTCAATGACTTGAATGACAACATAATCTTATCCTTTAACCTAATTCCACACATCTACACTGATTGTTCTTGAGAGAATAAAGCCCAGGCTATTCCAATCAAACACAAATATTTTTGGTAATAATTCCATATTATTTCTATGTGATGTTTACAACTAAATTAATGCTGGTATACTCTGAGACCCATTTGGACTGCTACAAAAGCCAATTTTCAGCATGCTGCATGTGGCACAGCCATGCAGGAATTGATAAATACATTGAAGCATTATTGATTGCAACAGTGTTTGACATAAGCCTTTAAACTGCACAACTAACTTCCTCTGTAAAATATTTTACTTCAGTTTGTAGTGTGGAAAAACAACACAGTTTCTATTTCAGCACAATTACAGATCACATACAATAACTGAACAGCATTTAACTGAATTTAACAGAACGTGGCCAGCACTCCCAGTGGGCCTCTTTGGAGTACAAAACCCAAATGTTAATCAGGTTAACAGGGACTGCCTGTTTTTCAGAGATGCTGAAATTTGCAGCACCTACTGAACTTTTTTCTGGTCTTGCCACCTCTTCTACCTTGCTGCAGTCTTCCCCTCCCATGGGAGACATGAAAGGATCCAATTCTATCTCTTTTCTAGCTTTAATTATCCTAGAGATTTATAAGTATACTAAATCTGTTAAGTAAGACCTTTAAAAGCATAGTTTAAAGACTTTTTCATTTTGTTACCCCTTTTAATATCCCTTCTCCACCAGTTGTCTACACTCAGTGAAAGACACCAGTTGACACAAAACATTTTTACTCCAAAAATCCTATAATTTTTAAATGCTATTACTGAGTATTTCCAGAGGAAAGGTACTAAAAATATTTAGAAAACCACCCCCTTAATGTATTTAATATATACTGGGCTTTAGTCAATCTCTGACAGCAGAATCACGTTAATTGTTTTAGAGGCCTCTATATGAAAACTAGAATTCTACACAGCAGTTCACCTTCTAGACTATTAGACACTCACAAACTTCTCCAACAGTCATGTGGCAAGCAGCCTTCCTTTTAGGCAAAGCCATGTTCACCAGAATGACACCTCCCCCACAAACACTTTTGCTACCGACTCCTAAACCAGCCTGCATTGAGGCTATATCCTTCCAGCCTTTGGTTACCCTACAGAAATAGTTCTAGATGCTGGGAATGAATGGCTATGATTCAGTGATAAGAGTAATTCTCGGTTTAGGGCTGTAATACCTAATTAAGAAAAAAACCCCGACATGATCATATGACAAGACATACTAATCCAAGCTAAACTCATTCTACCAGATCAGATTTGCCCAGTTGCCTTTTTTTTTTTTTTTTGATGAATAATCTTCTAAAATGAAATCCATCACACAGATTCTGGGTTGTTTTCCTAACCCCTCACCCTCCAGGTCTATGTCTTCCTCCATCTTCATAAAGCAACTTCCTCAGAGCAGAAGCTTTTTTCCCCCCACTCTTAACGTAATGATGCCAGTATTTCCTTCCCATTTATAGAAGGCAGTCTAGAATACAGAGGTTGCATCTATATTAACAAGTACTGAGGTGTGATAAGAGGAAACAGTCAAAGGCTGGGAATGTTCACTTTTTGTATCTAATTTTGGGGGTTTGCTGGTTTTTACTTCAATTGAGCTCCAGTTTGATCCCATACACTAAAGGCCCATTAGTAGCTGAAGCACATCTTCTGCTTCAGCTTCATGTGAAAATGATTCGGCTTGCGGGCTATAAGACTGCTCTGTGATGCAAACCTGGGCACAATAAGTGGAAAGGATGAAGACTTACTTCAAAAATGCACTGCAGATCTGAACAAAAACATTAACTTGGGTGCACTCTGAAACCATGATTTAAAACCTTGATTGCTATTCTACCTTCTACTATTCTAAATCCTTGGTCCCTTCCAGAAGCAAAGCTATATTATCAGCTCCAACATGATGATCAGCTCCAGCTTCCTGAAAAAGGAAGAAGCTAAAATTTTAGAATTGTGATCTGTGAATAACCACATTTTGCAGAAGCAGAGAATTAAGCCTTGAGAATTTTTGTGCACACTTTAAGCGGAGTAAATAAAGCAAACCCTACCAGCTTAAAACTATCTCCTTGGCTTACCAAGTTGGCCACACCATGAAGATAACATGGTTTCAGGGCTTCCATGCTGATGTTAAACAGATCAAGACTGCCTGTCTCTATACTTAAACTCATACCTTTTATGTAACTCTCATACAATATCCACATATATATTTTAAATCATATTTATATATAAAAATATACAGAATTTAAAGTCTGAGACTTCTAGATAGCTCAAACGTATTTGGCAATAGGTCAACCGCAGGAAGTGCTTCTATTTTACCAGTGGTGAAACTAAACCATAGAAAGATAAGCACTGTCATCACTGAATGAAAAGCATTAATGCTTTACTAGGTTTCAAAAACCCACTGAACACATGTGTAAATCAGAAACTGATGACATAAAGATGCTATTAAACACAGAAGAAAAGAGTATTTCTATCCAGTAACATTTTCAAAAAGACTAGAATGGGATATGACAAGATTTAAGGATTTCAGAATCACGTAAAAACTCATAGTACAAGGTTTTCCTCCCACATACTTGTTACATTTCAAATTTAAGTTTCACTGAATCAGCTAACATTGTCTATCAATCAAATGTCTACTAGGTGCTGAAAGGATGAAAACTGCAGAGCACACTATAAATAAATACCACATGATAAACTGGAAGGGCCTTCCAGTTTACAACTCACATAAAACCATCTCACCCTCACTTTTATCATCAGCTAGCAATCCAGTTCAGGCACTGTACTGTTAAAACATGATAGCTGCTTTTCCTACATCTGACCTAGATCTCTCATGGCTGCTAGCATTTAAAGAAAATGAGCAGAAAAAGTCCATGAGTAGAAATACTGGAGCCAGGGTTCATTATGAGTTTGTGTTACACAGGTGACTGACCTGAGCATTTAAGACTGCACAAAGCTCTGACTGAAGTTACTTCTGTAGCAAGGTAACGTACAAGTTCTCTCTCTTCTTCTGGTCATTATCAAAGAATGTACAAACTCACCACAAGTACAAGTGAAGTCTCCTCCTTTTAGCTAATTACTTATTGACTTTTTCATAACTTTTTTAAGACCTTAAGTATCTGTGATAAGTTCATCTCACTGGTGAAACAAGGTTAAAGTTTTGAACCTGCTATGAAGAGAGGCAAATCACTCAGAACAGTCATACGGTTTACTTTCAGAACATTACCAGGAATAAGAAGAAAAAAGTTGTGGGTTTTTTTCACAACATGTAGTAGCACACAGAATGAGAACGAAGGAAACAAACAGAACTATGGCATTGGACTATCTGTGTCTACCTTTGTTATACTCACATAGTAAGGTTCAGCTTCCCTTTCAGTTATCTCATCCTGATACAGAGTGAAACAGGTTGGTATTCGTCCAAACCACACATCTCGAAGTACATCTTTGTCATCTGTCATTCTTCCAATGGATAGTGAAGCACATGTAGATCAGTTTCTTTCTTCAGCTAGAACTGTAACCCCGTTCCCCCCAGAAGAAACAAGTCAGCACAACTGCAAATAACACACATCTTTTTAAAGGTTCTCCCATAACTACACTCCTACAAGCATGATCAACACTGTCACCGAGACGTTAAATGCATCAGTTTGTACAAAAAACGGGAGGAGTCAAGGCCTCCGAGTTAACACTTTCCCAACTACAAACACATGGCGGATGACAAATAAATGAGCATTTCCTAAGCCTGCATCACACCCCAGCCGTATAGGCAAAGGGACCTTTCCCGTTACCGCCTTGCAGTCACCCCGCAGCTCCCACACCCCCCGAGGCCCCGGCTTTACCGCGGGCGGGCGGCCCCGGGCCCACGGGCAGCCAGCAGAGCCGGTGC